CCTGTCAGACCCTGACGAGCCTATTCTATTCCGAGTTGGCCTGCAACAATCAATTCCTTTTCGATGTCATATTCTTATACTATAAGATTCATTGGATTAACTGTAAGACTTCCAGCGGCCAAACCAACCCTAAAAGACTCGCAGCGCTTATTCCAACAAGACCAAGAACAACGGATATTACAACAAGAGCGCTTACTGATTGAATTGCTAACAGCTTTTTTCTCTTATTTTAGGATATTGAACCGGAACTCTTTAGAAAAGCTTTCAAAGCAAAATAGGGATTGAATCACGTAAGACATTTCCAGTCTCCGATGCAGGAAATCGAAAAATCGATTACTAGTAAGGTAGTCTAAGGCAAGTAGGTAAAAGGCTAGTCCCTATCCCGAAAGGGAAAGCGTACGGATGCTGCCTTGTTCGCTCCGGTTTATTCATCAAAATGTGAAGTGAAAGTGAATTCAGTAATAGTAATTATAATTAATTAAAGGAAAGAATGATAGCGCGATCAATTACGAAAGTTGCAGTTGATACCGCCACCTTCTTATGAAAGAAAGAAAGGGAGGAACTCCTATCTGACTGGGGCATTCCTAGCTTGAAGTAGGGCGCCCTATTTCATACATAGGAAAAGAGATGTGATCTACTGCACGCGCTTGGCTCATCCCAAATACGCGATCTCCAGTGAGATAAGGTAAGGTGATCCACTCTCTCTTTTGGTCCTTAACTTCACTTTTATGCTATCTTCTACTTTCCTTTCCACGGGCTATCATGATTCCTCGCGCTGGCAAGGACAGATCTTCTTTCACAGACAAGTCTAATCCCATTCCAAAACCACAACAGCCTTGGCCCAGCTCACACTCGACATGACATGATCTTTGACAATCATGAGTCAGGAGGGTCAGCCCAGACAAAGACTAGCCGGCCAGAGTTTGGTCTCCGGCTCTTAGAAATCCAGCCGCCTGAAAGCATGAGAAAGTATACGATAGCACCATCTCTTCCCACGGAGCGCTAAGAAGGAAAAGAAAGGACAGACAGCAGCGGATCTGCGACAAGGCTACGCTCCTTATCTTTCCTGAAAGTTAGTTAAGGAAGTAGCCTTTCCCGTCCCTTATCCCATTCCGACTTTAGGAGTTCACACAACCGATATGCGAATCTTAGAGTAACAACTCATCTGCGACAACTGTTAGAAAAGATCTTTTCATGTCGCATATCGGCTGTATGCTTTCCTCATTCCCATCTGGCATATCTGTTACAAGCATAATGAGAGAGTGTTCGACCACTCGTCTTCTTCTCCCCGAGGGTTGCTTCCATTCAGGTAGCTATTGCTGAATTTTCAAAAAGAAATCCGTCTTCATTTCATTCCACTGAAGAATAAATTGTCTGCGTAAGTGGGCAGTGTCTCCCACTCTTGAAACTCGAACCAATGCTCGATAGGCTCCCCCAGACCAGAGTAGAGTCCAAATCAAGTTGGATGGCTCTGCATCTCCAAATCTGGGACCTGTAGGGGCCAAAGGTATTATTATTAGAGACCATGATGGCCGGGTACTTGCTATTCGATCCCAACACCCAGTCTACCAACAACCGAGCAGAGGTTTTGGCCCTCAGATTCCGGATTCGAATCTTTTTTTATTCAAAGTGGGTGCACATCGAGGAAGACTCTAAGCTAAGAAACCAATCCAGATGCTCCTCAATGGACCCTCTGGACCATTGTCCAGGGTTGCCAGTTTATGCTACAGTCGTTTCAAAGCTGGTCAGCGAACCACTTAGGGAAGAACTCTTCAAGACCTTGACCTAGTGCTTCCGCTTCCCTTTCCATTCAAGAAGTACGAGTCGAGCGGGTTTCATCTTGTTAGGGGGATTATGGCGGCAATCAGGTGCCCCACACCAAAGGAAAGGGCTCCCTTTTTGTTGGCATGATGTGGTACCGAGTGACTTTGATAGAGGTATCTCCATCTTCGGGGAAGTGCAAGTCAGTGTTGCTTCCTCCTCATCTGACGACAATGTAGTGCGGATACGAGTCTTGGGTTCAAGAAGACTGTCTTCTTTGAGCTCTAAAGAGTGAAGGGTGTCACCCAAGCCGCCTTGCGGATTGATGACCTCATCTAAATCTAAGACGTACTCGGGTTTCTTGGCAGGACATGAGCAGGTTTGAATTCGTTCAACTTATCAAGCTAAAGGCATTTGGGGCACACGGGTCCCTCGAAAGTGGATGTGTCTTTGAATAAGTCCTTCCATTGTGTTTAGGTCCCAAGGCGGAAGGAGTTCACTCTGTTGGACCTTCGCGATAGAGATCCAAATGAATGAATCGGCTTCACATCCTCATGCTTGGAGAGGAAGGAGATCCAATCAAATGGTGCATTCTTTCTCGGCTATTATGGGAGCACTGATGGAGTACTCTCTTTAGAGCTCGGTGAATGAAGAAGAGCTAATTGAAGAATTTGTATCTGATCACATGAGCGCATTCTTGGTCGTTCTGAAAGCGCCAGTGGTAAGTTAGATTCTATAAGGATCCTTGAACATAGCTACCATTTCATTTGCCAGAACATGCGAGATTCTTTATGGCCGGGTCTCAGTCTCACGAATTCTTCGTAATTTGGTTCATAAAGGACCGGATCAGTAGCATAGTCTGGCGGGAGACACAGCAATCTTGACATCTCATCCCATCTAATGGTGTCATTTATGTTTTGACCCTTTTCCAAAATCTGTCTTCGGCATTCAATCTTTCATCCTCCGCTTTAGGTGGCAAAATGTCTTACAAAAGACCATACTCTCTGATTCGCTCTATGCCCCCATCCTCCGGTGCATCTTTGCTCAAGGCTATGATTTCATTTCATGTCGAAGATGGTCTGGATTCGAAGATGCTTATGACTTTTAGCTCGTGTCTTGTAGTGGTTAATCTTGGGGAGTAGCTCGTTTTGACCCGCCGTACTTTCTTCCTCAATTCCAGAGGTGAACCATTTCGTAGTTTCCAACACAGGGAAATCATAGTCAGAAAAAGGGCTATGGCTTTCGTGCGCCCCTCACCTCCTCCATGAGGATGATCCACTGGATTCATTGCAACACCACGAACAATGGGGCGTCTGCCTAACCTGTCCAGCTTTTCTAAGCTTACGTGCACCATGATTGGGATCAAGTATTTCGTATCTATAAGCAGGGGGCGTGGCCAAGAAGCCTACACTCCAGCGGACTGCCCCCTTCTAATCGTTCTTTACACAGTGAATAAGGGCTTAGGATGGTCATTCTGGGCGGATTGCAAGAAGGAGCTGGTCGAAGGTTTGGACCAATCGCAATTCATCACCATTTTGCCTGCTTCTAATTGATGACTGGCTATTATATAAGTGTTGACCTAAGCCCCTGTGCAGGGGCTCGGCTCCCGAACCGTACGTGAGCTGCCTCGTACGGCTCTTCCTAAGAACTTGAAGCCCCCTCTCCAGGAATCCAACTTTTTTAAAAAGCCTTCGCCCTCCTATTCAACGGGGCTATTAGAGAAGCAGCTTCGTTCCTTGACTTCTTTGCTCAGTCAAGCTTCCTTGTTCCTTAGTGTAGTCTCGGTCCATAGTTTAAGACTCCGTTCCTTATAGTATAGTCTATATCCACAGCTGACGGTGACTCCGTACCGACGCCTTTCCCTTTGTAGACGGCTAAGTTACTTCGTCACTTTAACGTACTTTTTTTCTTACTCTATCATAGGCCTTCGCCGGGCTGGCTTTCATCCCCAAGCCTATAGGCGAAGGCTTGGTTTCGATATCGCTCATGACTTGTTATAGAGTCCGTGTAGTGGTCGGCCTTCCCATCAGAAATGGGAAATGATAGAGTGGTCGGCCTTTTGTTCCAGCTCAGAATGCCTAATGCCTATTATAAGTTCTAGAAGCTAACCGCCGGAAGCTCACCCTTCGGGTCTCGCTTCCAGCGCAGGAGGCCAAGCATTCTGCCAGACGTCCCGCCTTGGGAGCCCCGTTCGCCTTTTTTGTTCAGTAGATCTTCAAAAAAAATCAAGACTTCAATGCAACCTTAACTACAACTACATTACGCAAGCTCCACCAATACCTACCTATCGAGTCAAAAAAGTACCAGTGACGGTGACTTTCTAGGTTTATGGATTCAGTCAGCGAAAGTCCTCAATATCAACAAGATGTCGTGACCGGTGTAGCTAAGTTTCAAAAGGTGAACAGCGCCCTTTATAGTCGTAAAATGCTTCTCTGAAAAGTAAGGAAGGAGGCAAGCAAATGAAGGGAGGCATTACGGGCCGACTACAAGAAGGAAAGCTTCGTAGACTCGACAAACCGCTTCTATAATGCCGACTACTAAGTGAAGACTTTCCCCTTCCCTTATTAAATAAAGTCAAGGGGTTCCTCCAGCTTCGCTGAAGAGAAGCTAGGTTCCTCCGAAGCGAAGCTTAGCGAGCTGGCCGATCACTACATAAGCCGCTGGCGGAGAAAGCTCGAGGAGAAATATTCATTCGTTGCTAAGCCAAGGTCCCAGGTCTCCGAGTCAGCCCGCGCTTTTTCGAAGAATCCTGCACCCATGGGCATACGGCCTGGCAGGCCTTCCCTTTCCGCCGGAGCTTCATGGGTGTTGCCCCGTTCCCCAATCAGATATGATATTTGGATGTGAGCTATACTCCGCGAGGAGCCAAACGGGCGTATGGCCTTGCCATTGGACCTCTCTTCCCGTGTGACTAGAAATGTTCAGTGACAACCTCTCAATTGTCATTGCCTGGCCTCTCTTGCTACCGCGGTAGCACCTAGTGTGGTCAGCACCAATCGTGTTCGGGCAACGAAGCTTACACTCATTCACATTGGTTCATCCTGCTATGCCCCGGGCCTTTTGCTCTCCGTAAAAAAAAGGTGGCCGGCCTTTCGTCAAGGCCCAGGAATCCGCTGGACATCTCAGCGGCGGGATTTGATACCCGCATCTGATCGAAGTTTCATTTTAGTGCCCCCAGATAAAGGAGAGCTCTTTCTAGGTGGGTCGCTTCGCGCAAGACATTGCTTAGGACCAACGGGTCACACGACAGGTGCACGATCGACTTTGCACGCTCCATCCTTCGCCCTCAAACCCCGGAGAGCTTTGAGTTGCTTCGCCCTTTCGCCTATCGGCTTGGCAGGCAAGCTACCTTGATCCGTCTTCGGCTTCGATTTGTTATGCCCAGCAGCTCCAACAAGCCCTAAAGTATCTTGCCGCCTAAAACTCTGCCAAGAAAGCCCTGCTTTACCTTTGATCCTATGTGCCCAGAGAATGCTATGCGTTCTCCACTTTCGGACCTCGCAAAGAGAGAACGTGCTTTTTCCTCTCACTTTCTGTCTCATTCGCGGAGCGAAGAAAGCGGTAGGAACCCCAGCTACCGCTATCCTTGGGAAACCAAAAGAGCTAGCGAAGGCAAGGGATGCAGTCTCTCTCTTGGCCTTTGGAGAGGAGAAGGCAGAGAAGAAGACGTCCTTCACTAAAGTTTTTGTGCTTCCTGCGCCCTTACTAGCAAAGGCGCTCTTAGACGAAGACAAAGGAGGCATTCCGGTAGGAAGGCCGACCACTACATAAGCGGCCATCAGTCCAGGAGAGAAGCAAGCTACCTTTCTTTGATCCACCTTCCCGGGCAGGAAAGAGAACGAAAAGAGGCCGCTGATGGTGTTCGTGGTAGGTTTGAGGATCTTGCGCGGCGGAGCGAACTCCTCGATCGTGTTCATTTTTTTCTGGCAGCCCCCCTTGATCCATCGTACTGGAGCGATCTGAGAAGAACGATTAGGGTCATATTCTATACTCTCTACAATGCCCATAGAGGAAGTGCTTCGTTTCAGATCAATTCTTCGCAGCAATCGCTTCGAGCCACCCCCTCGGTGAAAAACCGTAATACGCCCTGAGGAATTCCTACCAGCAGACTTTCCTGTACTCAAAGTGAATTGTCTAAGTGCTCTTCCTCAGGTGCGCCTAAAGTCTTATATTCGATGATCCCTTTTCTATTCTCTAGGCCAAGATTGCCTTTTCTTTTCCAGGAGAACTTTTCTAGGCGCCGTTCTTGGTTAGGCTAACTCTTATAGATAGAAAGATAGAACGCAGACGGTATCAAACTCTTCAATACTCGAATTTGTCTCCCGCTAATCTTCATTCGAGTCAAGTCTCTCTTTCTTATTAAAGGAAGCTTAAGATTGGCAGCTTCAGAGCTTCAGAAATGTCATCTAAAGAAGGCGGTATCAATGAATTGAATATGAAAGGGTTGGGACTTCTTCAATGAAGGGTACCGCTGCGGGTTCTTCTTTGGCAACGGGTCAAAAAGGAGATCTCGTCTGGTTCCACTACATCAAATACCACAGCACCTGACTCAGAGGCAAAAGTGGTCTCATCTGCTGAAGCCTCTTAAGCTACAGCGGAAGATTAGGAGATAACAGAAGATTCCCTTACAGCGGACTCTGTTTCACCAGAAGATGAAGCGGTATAAGTCGTCAAGGGCGGTTCCTCGATACCAATATGAAGGGGCACCCATTACCACATCATCTGATTCAGTGGCACAATTCAGCAATAGCATCTGATCCTGTGAAAAGCCTATTGATAAGTCAAGCCTTCCTTTTCATTTGAAGTGAAGGAAGGAATTCAAACCCAGTCACCCGGATTGGTCCGTAGTGATTCGACCGGAACGAAAACAGGATCTCCTTTTTACATCACTCGCTCGCCTCTTGGCAACTCAGATGCATCATTGGAATTTCTTTCGAGATGAAACAGGCGGCAAGAGAGAGAACCTCTTCGACTTTCATAACAGATTAGCGAAAGGTGGAAGGTTTGTATAAAGTGGATTTCACCGAATCTTTGACTACTCTCTCTCGAGATAGAGTGTTAAGTAAACTGTCTCCGTTTATTCGAGATCCTTCTCTCTTTCACTTAATAGAGACGTTCCTCTCCCTTCCCGCCTTGGATGCCAGGGGACGTAATTGGTACCCCATCTTAGGAGATCATATTCCATCAGGTAGTCTTCTGACTAGCGAACTTCTCCACTTTATGCTCGATGATGCCGACCGAGACTTTGTCAAAACATACCCCGACTTTCCATATTGTAGGTTCCTACATGAAGCGTTTGTTCCAATGGAATGGGGTGGTTGGAGAGTTGCGGAGATCGACTTCGAAAACAGGATGAATGTCCTATTCAAGAAGCTCAGTCTGCCGGGACAAATTGAACTCCTTCAACTAGACGAAAAGACAAGCTCCCTCTCTTGTTTAGGCGGGGAGCTCCATTTGACACCAAAGGGTGGATTGTCATTTGTTGCAGAACAAGCGGAAAATCCCATCTTTTGACCGATAGATCCGATCCATCCAACATAGAACACAAATCAATCGTGCGTGACAGTTTCAATTCAAAAATGAAATAGAGAAGTATAATGGAATGGAAAAGATCCAAAATCAATCCAATTCAAATAAGGTGAGTAGCAAAACGGATTAGATATCATAATCAAGGGTATCTAATCAGTTCTACCTACTATTGGATTTGAACCAATGACTCCCGCCGTATGAAAGCAAGACTCTAACCACTGAGTTAAGTAGGTCATTTCTTATCACAAAGAAAAAGAAATGGAACCCGTCCCCTCCATCGAATGATCAATATAGGAAAGGTCAACAGGCTCGTAACGTTCGCTTTCTCTGCACCTCGTTCGCTTAGTTGATACAATGCATAGATGGGTTTCAGCTTTCTTCTCTGATTGACTATTTCTTTGTTTAATAGGACTGGGACAGTGCCCTCGTTTGCTCGGATAAAGTCTCTCGTTCTACAACTCACTTTCAAGGAGAGAAAGTCTCATGCACATATGGGTGAAGTCTCATTCATGGATGAAGATGGAGTCAAGCTCAGGACAGGGGATAAGGATGGTGAAAGATAGATTCAAGATTGTGAAGTAGAAAAATCATTCATGATGGTCGGATGAATAGATCTAGATGGTTATGGTACTCCCACCCAGCCGGAGGCCCCTCCTTTTCAATGGTCAATCAATACTTTCGAAGACGGAAGAGCTTGGAGATTCTTAGCCAGCGAAGAGGAAGTTTCTTGCTTCTGATGTACCAGCTCCAGCTCACTTGATGGCGTGCTTTCCTAGGTGCTTTCTTGGTTGTGTTGTGCCCGTCTGTGCTTATGTTCCTGCTTCTTTCTTTCCTGCAGTCGCGGTGGGACTCTTGTGTTCCGGCGATAGGGAGTTTCAAACAAAGGGGTGGAGGTACGTTCTGACCGATCACAAGGGGGGCAGGCAATAGCAGACCGCCTGCGGATCATCCCGTGCCTGACTATGAGCTTGATTTTGGGACGAATTTCCCGGACGAAGCGATTCTATTTGCGGTAGGCGAAGAAGAATACAAAACTCCTCATGATTGGCAAATGTTCTTTGATGGTGCAGTCAATCTGAACGGAATTAGAGCAGCCCCTTTCTACATGCTATCTTAAAGCTCGCCAAAAGGAGCCCCTTTTCCCATAGCTGTCAAGTTGAGGTTCTTTTGCACAAACAAGATCGCAGAATCTTCTGCGTGTATTACAGGCGCTTCAAACCCTCGACTTGAGAATCAAGGAGATTGATGTATATGGAGATTCGTCACTTATCATCTTTAAGACAACTAGTGATTGGAAAACCAAAGTCTCCGAAGCTCATTCCCTACCATCAGTCTCTGGAAGATCTCAGTCTAAAGTTCAGACGGATTACCTTCAATTATCTGTCGAGTACGAAGAAGAAGTTTGCTGACACATTGGCCACACTAGCTTCCATGATCAGTAGAAGGTATTGATATCCGAGTCGACGAATCGGATTCAAATCAGTGTGAAGAAGAGTCATGCGAGGACTAATCAAGCACAGCTAAATAGTAGTCATGTCCACAAGGAAAGGAAGAAAGGAGAAGCTACTCGACCGGGTTGAAGGCTATTTTAAAAAAAAGAGGAAGACCCTATATTCTCATCGAAAAGACTAGTAAGTGTATGGGATGCTTCCCTTGAGTCACCTTTACTTTAAGGAGAGGAAAGCGCTTTTGAATGAACGAAACCTTGGGACTGACCTCTTGACGACTTTTTTTTGCTAGTGTAGTTATGCGTCTTCGGTAAGCTGACCAAGGAACACTGCATTGCGCCATACCAAGCTCTTGGCTAGGATGGATCCACTCAAATCTCTATAAGACCTTCCTTGACTGGAAGGACTGCCAAGCGATAGCCGATCACCTCGCCAATCATCCCTTGCCGTCGCACGAACTTCTGAGAATCCTGATTACAGTAGAAGAGGGCTTCAAACCACATTTCATTCTATTTCGATGAGCCCTTAGGCTGGAGTAGGGATAGCACTCATCTCCCTGAAGAGATCCCCGTCCCAACAAAAGCTTGACGGTTGGGGTTCCTGGCCACAAAAAGACAATCTAGCCGAATATGAGGGAATCATCGCAGGGTTACTCATAGCACTAGCGTGGAAGATCCTCCCGATCGATGTATTCGGAGATTCCGAATGAATTATTCGCCTAATCACTGGCGAGTACCGAAAAGTGAAAGCCATATAAAGAAATGGTAGACGAAAAAGGGAGCAATTGAAGCAAATAACCTTGACTAGGTTACCTCGAGGACTAGCAGATACCCTAGCGAAATTCGCCTCCATGTTTCAAATCCCAACAGGGGCAGGGGTCTGATCTGAGTCCCTAAAAGTCGAACAATTAGAGCATTCGACTAACCTTTTCGAAAAGGTTAGTGCTCTAGAGGATGAGAATGTAAAAGATTAGTCCCCATGGTCTTTGGATATCCTTCACTTTATCGATAAGGGTGAGTTTCCAAGTTTCGAAACGGCCAAAGAATTGCGTTTTGTCAGAAACCACCCCGTATGTCATGAATGGCGGTATTCTATACAAGCGTTCTCATGAGGGAATTCTCCGATCATGCAAATTGGATAGTATAGCCCAGCCATGGATCAGTGCCATTCCTTAGTATGCGGGGGTCACGTAAACGCCCAAGCTTTTTCCAAGGAAAGTCTCAGAATGGTACTGGCCTACTATAGAAAAGGACTGCAACCACTATGTGAAGCCCTGCGAAAAGGTGAAAGAACGCGCTTATCCATGCCCCGTCATCTTCCTTACATCCGATTATGTCTCCCTGGCTTCAGTATGGGCATTCAATGTTATCGAAAAAAGGAATCCCTCGGATATTGGACCCTGTTATCGAATAGGTTCTTTCAGCTAGGAATGGAGTATAGGTACAAAGCCGGTTGAAAGCTCTCCAACGGTAGCTGTCGAACGGTCAAACTCTCCCTGCTCTCAGTCATTCCATTCATTCGATTTCTTTTTAGTTTTCATAACGGATGAAACGTTTCTCCCCTACCTACTGTTTGAAGTCTGGCTTGCTTCATTTGTAATCAAGGATCTTAGCCAAACGGTGACCAAGGCTGCGTATCCTATGCTCCGAAAGACAGAGGCTACTCTTTCTCCTATGCGAAGAACACCTACCTATACTACTTAGTAGAGTCGCACTTTTGGCAGAGCTTTCTCGATCACAACTTCTCTAGTCTAACCTGGCAGATAGAATGAAACTCATTATATAGAATGACAATTTGCAGATCAGCAAGACAGTCTATCCTTTCTGTCTCAATCCCGGCAGTAGAGATAGAGCGAAGCATACCAGAGAAAAAAGCATACCTATCCACTTGACTTAGTAAACTATCTTCTCCTACTTCTAGCATGCATATCGGAATGATCGCTTCAACAAGGCTAAGCCTGCTTCTCTATATGCCAGATAGGCTCGGTATCCTATCGCTTGGCTGGACATAGAATCCTTTCTATATCAATCCAACTCTGTCATAGCTATTCGCTACTTGCTGATCAGTCTCTCTCATACCTTTCTCGGCAGAGATCGAATCGATCTATCCGGAACTTCCTAATAGGACAGCTAACTGACCCAAGGCTTGAACTAGTCTGAAGCTAAGAAGGAGCTTTGAACGGACTAATGGCAAGAAGAGGAATTCTATCACGAAAGAGCTACTCTCTTCAATCCTTTCTCCAGTTCGTTCAATCCAGCCACTTATTGCTAAGAGCGAACATAGTGAGCGGACAGCCAATTGACTTCACTTCTCCTCTCCCCGTCGTTTACCGACGGATGGTGGGTTTCATTTAAGAAAGAGGGACCTTTTTCTCGGTTAAACTTATAACTATGATCTGAAGAACGCTACAGCCGTTAACGTTACGTTCTTACTTAATGGCAAGAATGTCCATGTTCTTTGGACCTACCTGGGCGAGTTCCGTTTTCCAGACTACATGTTGGCCTTTCACACTATATGTATGGTAGTGTGTGTGGTTGGCAGCGGACCGGATTGATCCCGTCGCCGGTTTCAGGCCTATGCTGTCTTAGGTGATGACATTGTTATCGCCGAAAGTAGGGTTGCTTCTGAGTATGCGAGTGTGTTAGCGGATTTGGGAGTCACTCTTTCTCACCAAAAGTGCTGGATCTCTAAAAAGTGGTCTTTGAGTTCGCTAAGAGATTCGTTGTGCGATTTTTTCGAATGGGTACTTGAACTTTATATATCCAGTCTAAGTTCG